CCGTGAAAAAGAAAAACTACCAAACTCACACAAGCAGAAATGGATAACCAGAATCAGCCTATACCTATTAAAGAAATTGATTCAATAATTAAAAACCTTCCAAAAAGGGAAGTATCACATCCATATTGGTGAATTGGTGAATTTTACTATGTATTTAAAGAAGCCCTAGCTGGTTTGGCTCAGTGGATAGAATATTGGCCTGTGGACTGAAAGGTCCCGGGTTCGATTCCAATCAAGGGCACATGCCCAGGTTGCAGGCTTGATCCCCAGTCGGGGGCATGCAGGAGGCAGCCGATCAATGATTCTCTCTCATCATTGATGTTTTGATTTCTCCCTCTCCTTTCCTCTCTGAAATAAAGAAAGGAAGGAAGAAAGGAAGAATACCGCCCTGACTGGTTTGGCTCAGTGGATAGAGCATCTGCCTGCGGACTGAATGGTCCCAGGTTCGATTCCGGCCAAGGGCATGTACCTTGCTTGCAGGCACACCCCCAGTAGGGAGTGTGCAGGAGGCAGCAGATCAATGTTTCTCTCTCATTGACGTTTCTAACTCTCTATCCCTCTCTCTTCCTCTCTGTAAAAAATCAATAAAATATATTTTAAAAAAAGAAAAAAAGAAAGGAAGAATACCAATTTGCCACAATCTTTTATACACACAACCACTTTCATATCATATTATTACTGAACTAGCTACACACTTAAGATAAATCACAAATTCTGCAATGAGTAAAAATAGCTAGCTTCAGATCTTCTTTTCTAATCTGGAACTAAAGGAAATAATAAATACTATGTGAGTAGGACAAGCATTACTGCAATCGAGAAATATGAAAGGAAGTATACTGAAATGAGTCTGCAGAGATGGACAAGTACATTTCAAAGTTTTTGGCTGCTGCAAGGTGGCAGCTTCCAATATTCTACCAAGAATAAATGGCTTGTAAATCAACTATTTACAATGAAAAAAACCATCACCCCAACTTGGGGCTCACTCTTGACCTGCTGCTTAAAAAGGTTATCAATAAATGATTAAGAAACAGCTTATATGAGATAAAATCTAGGGTGGTTTCAATTTGTCAGTAATCACTTAAGCAAACTTAACTATAATATCTACCTCATAGACTGATGTGATGATTAAATAAGTTGACACACATAAAACTCTCTGACTAATGTGAAGTAGATATTCAATAAACATTAACCACACAAAAAAATTTAAAATATATTTTCAGGGTTTTCATGGGGGAGAAATGCTTTACCTGCAAGTAAGCGAGAAATGGGGAGGTGAATGCTAACTTTTTCTTGAGAAACACAGTATCTGATAGTTTCCACTGAATGTCCACAAATGCTTAATGTGACTGGCTGTTCACCATCAGTAAAACCACCATGACACTGCATCAATACAGCAAGGCATTTCTTGTAAGCTTCAATTAACACTTTTTCCTTTAAAAAAAAGGGTATTTTGTAAGTTACTCCAAAGTTAAGTTTTTATAACACTGAATAAGCACATCAAATTCAACAATGAGTAAGTACCTCAAATATTAACACAGGCAAAATCAAGCCCAATCACCCCTTCCCAGCCTGGTCCCTCTTCCGGTGCCCTGTCTCAGTGAGTGACATCTCTGTACAGCTGTGGAAATCTAGAAGTTATTCCAATACCCTACTTTCCCTCATTCCCCATTGTCCAATCTATCACCAAGCTATGAAGTTCATCTTCTAAATTTCTCTCAAACCTGGCCACTGATCATCTCCGGTAACTCAAAGGAAAGCCAACTCTATTATAAATTCACTATTATAAATTCCCTACTTCTACTCTTGCTACCCTCCATCCACTCTCCATATAAACAATTTTTTAAAATGTATAAATTGGACCATGTCACCTTTCTCCTTGGTAGTCTCTAATGGGTTCCCACTTCAATTAGAATAAAATCCAAACTTCCTTCCATGGCCTCCAAGGCCCTGCAAAATTTACTTAAAAATCTGTCCATTTCTCTACCTTTAACCTCTACGCTCCAACCAGACACTTCTCACAGCTCCCCTAACAATTATATTCCTCATAACAGAGCATGATTCAACTATCCCTCAGTCAGGAATATTCTTTACTGTTTGATCAGTTAACTCTGACACATAGCTCAGATCTAATGGAAGCCTTCTATGACCTCCCAACTTAAACAAGCTCTCATCTAGACTTTATAATCAAAACAAGAACAAAATAGTTTTAAGATAGGACAAATGTACCAATAGTAAAACTTTATTTTTTGATACATTTAGAAATTATTCTTTTTATATGCTCAAAATCTAGATGGGATAATGGAAGAAACAAAGACAGTAACGTAAGAGAAAGAGAGTATGGATTATTTCCTCCTCTATATATTTTCCAAGTTTTCTTAAAAGACTTTAAAATTTTAACTTTTACTGAATTAATAGGTGGAAGAGGAAAATATGCTGTTTTATGAGCTAAGTATCACCACTATCCTCCCCAAAGCTCCTCAAAATTTACTTAAAATCTATTTATTCCTCCTCCACCATCTTTCTCCTATCTCCTACAGCCAGAAGACACTCACATCTAAAGCACACCAGTCCTGCATCATTGAAATCACATGTGTTAATTTCATTTGCAATGTGAAGGCTGCTTCCCATTCTGGTTCCATTTCAATATGCTGTCCTACTTGACGTGTCACTGGATCCATTCCCTTAAAGAAAGTGAAAAGATTTTAAATGAATTAAAATTATATTTGTTCTCTTATATGGAAACTTAAAAATAATGTAGAGGAAATATATACTGATTATAAAAATATATAAAGTAAAAGGCTAAATAAGAAGTTTCAAGTAGTATGAGAAAGTTCAACTTCGTAAATTATATGTTTATTTAACATTCTCTAAAATATAAATGAAAAATCCCAGTAAAGTACATAGCAAATTATTTTAGAGGCAATCGTCTATATGTTTTAAACAATAAAAAGAATACTCTATTGCAACAATCCTTCAAATTCTGTTTTAGGTCTGTTATCTATAGAAAAATTATTAGAAGAAATCTGATAAACAATGTTACTGAATTTATTATTCAAAATGACCAAAATATTGTTTCTATAGATACCCCGAACACCACAAAACATAGAAGTATTATTATAAATTTAAATACCAGAGAAAAATTTTAAATAAACAATCTAACCCTACACCTAAAAGAACTAGATAAACAACAAGAAAAGCCCAAAGTAGAAGAAAGGAAATTACAAAGATCAGAGCAAAAATAAATGACATAGAGACTGTAAGAAAATACTATGAATAACTATATTCCACAAATTGAACAACCTGGGCAAAACAGACAAATTCTTAGGAAGATTAAATCTTCCAAAACTGAATTAGGAAGAATAAAAACACCAGAACAGACCAATAACAACTACTGATATTGAAGCAGTAATTTAAAAAAAACCCAACAAAAAATTTTGGACCAGATGGCTTCACAGGCAAATTTTACCAAATATTCAAAGAAAATCTAACACCTATTCTCCTCAAATTATTCCAAAAGCTTCAAGAGGAGGGAAGACTTTCAAGCTCTTTTTATAAGGACAGCATTATTCTAATAAAAACAAACAGATAAAGACACTTCAAAGAAAAAAAATTATACGCCAGTATCTCTGATGAACATAGATACTAAAATCCTCAACAAAACATTAGCAAATCAATAAATGTGATATATCACATAAACAAAATGAAAGATAAAATCACATAATCATATCATAGATGCAGAAAAAGCATTTGATAAAATCCAGCACCCATTTATCATAAAAACTCTCAGCAAACCAAGTGGGAATAGAGGGATCATACATCAACATAAGAAAGGCTATTTATGAAAAACCTACAGCCAATATCATACTCAATGGGCAAAATCTAAAGTGTTTCCCTTAAAATAAGAAACAATACAAGCATGTCCACTTTCACTACTCTTATTCAACATAGTACTGGACCAAGTCCTCGCCACAGCAATCAGACAAGAAGAAATAAAAGGCATTCAAATTAGAAAGGAGGAAGTAAAACTATATGTAGATGATATGATATTGTATATAGAAAACCCTAAAGACTCCACCAAAAACCTATTAGATCTAATAAATGAATTCAGTAAAGCAGCAGAATATAAAATTAATATTAAGAAATCAGTGGGGCAGGCTGAGCCACTGGGCCCTATAGGACACCTAGCACACAAAGCCACTCTATCAACACAGGGAAGCATAAAAAATGCGGAGACAAAGAAACAGGTCACAAATGAAAGAAATGGAGCGAAGTAAACTACTGGATATAGAGTTCAAAATCACAGTTGTATATTTTCTAAGAATTTTCTAGAAACCATCGATAAATTTAGTGAGACCCTGGAGGTATGAAAAAAGACCAACTAGGAATTAAGCATACACTGACTGAAATAAAGAATAATATACAGAGATCCAACAGCAGACAAGAGGATCCCAAGAATCAAGTCAAAGATTTCAAATACGAAGAAGCAAAAAATACCCAACCAGAAAAGCAAAAAGAAAAAAGAATCCAAAAATATGAAGATAGTGTAAGGAGCCTCTGGGACAACTTCAAGCATACCAACATCCGAATTATAGGGGTACCAGAAGAAGAGAGAGGGCAAGATATTGAAAACCTATTTGAAGAAATAATGACAGAAAACTTCCCCTACCTGGTGAAAGAAATAGACTTACAAGTCCAGGATGCACAGAGAACCCCAAACAAAAGGAATCCAAAGACGACCACACCAAGACACATCATAATTAAAATGCCAAGGGCAAAAGACAAAGAGAGAATCTTAAAAGCAGCAAGAGAAAGAAACTCAGTTACCTACAAGGGAATACCCATACGACTGTCAGCTGATTTCTCAACAGAAACTTTGCAGGCCAGAAGGGAGTGGCAAGAAATATTAAAAGTGATGAATAGCAAGAACCTAAAACCAAGCTTACTTTACCCAGCAAAGCTATCATTCAGAATTGAAGGTCAGATAAAGAGCTTCACTGATAAGAAAAAGCTAAAGGAGTTCATCACCACCAAATCAGTATTATATGAAATGCTGAAAGGGATTCTTTAAGAAGAGGAAGAAGAAAAAGGTAAAGATAAGAATTATGAACAGCAAACACATATCTATCAACAAGTGAATCTAAAAACCAAGTGAATAAAAAATCTGATGAACAGAGTAAACTGGTGAATATAATAGAACAGGGGCACAGAAAGGGAGTGGACTGACGATTCTTGGCGGGATACGGGCGCGGGGGTGCAGGAAGAGACTGGACAAAAATCATACACCTATGGATGAGGACAGTGGGAGGGGTAAGGGCAGAGGGGGGGGGGGAAACTGGGTGGAGGAGAGCTATGGGGGGAAAAAGAGGAACAACTGTAATAATCTGAAAAATAAAGATTTAATTTAAAAAAATATATTCTATTGATTTTTTATAGAGAGGAAAGGAGAGGGATAGAGAGTTAGGAACATCAGTGAGAGAGAAACATCGATCAACTGCCTCCTGCACACACCCTACTGGGGATGTGCCCGCAACCAAGGTACATGCCCTTGACTGGAATCGAACCTGGGACCTTTCAGTCTGCAGGCCGACGCTCTAGTCACTGAGCCAAACCGGTTAGGGCTCAGTGGGGCATTTTTATACACCAATAAAGATCAGAAAGAGAAACTAAGAAAACAATCCCACTTATTATTGTAACAAGAAAATAAAGTACCTAGGAATAAATTTAACAAAAGAGATAAAAGACCTGTACTCATAAAATGATAGGATATTGAAAAAAGAAATAGAGGAAGACACAAACAAGTGGAAGCATATACTGTATTCATGGATTGGAAGAATTAACATCATTAAAGTGTCCATACTACCCAAAGCAATGTATACATTCTGTGCAATTCCCATGAAAGTACCAATAGCGTTATTTCACAGATTTAGAACAAATATTCTAAAAATTTATATGGAACGCCAAAAGACCCTGAATAGCCTTAGCAATCTTTTGAGAAAAAAGAACAAAGCTGGAGGGAACACAATACCAGGTATCAAACTCTAGTACAAAGCCACTATAATCAAAACAGCCTGGTACGGGCACAAAAACAGGTGTTATAGATCAATGGAACAGAACAGAGCCCAGAAATCAAGCCATGCCTTTATGGCCAATTAATATTTGACAGAGGAGACAAGAGCATACAATGGAGTCAAGACATTATCCTTATTTATTTATTTTTGCTAAAAATTTTTTTTTACATATTTTTATTGATTTCAGAGAGGAAGGGAAAGGGAGAGAGAGAGAGAAACATCAATGATGAGAGAATCATTGACCGGCTGCCTTCTGCACGCCCCACACTGGGGATTGAGCCCACAACCAAGGCATGTCCCTTTGTCCAGAATCAAACCCGGGACCCTTCAGTTTGCAGGTTGACGCTTTATCCACTGAACCAAACTGGCTAGGGCAAGACAGTCTCTTTAATAACTGGTGTTGGAAAAATTGGACAGATACATGCAAAAAAAAAAAAGGAAAGAAAGAAAAGAAACTAGACCACCAACTTACATCATACACAAGAATAAACTCAAAATGGAAAAAAGACTAAATGTAAGTTGCAAAACCATAAAAATCCTAGAAGAAAACAGGCAGTAAAATCTCAGACATCCCTTATAGCAATATTTTTGACAATATATCTCCTAGGACAAGGGAAATAAAGGAAAAATAAACAAATGGGACTATATCAAACTAAAAAGCTTTGGCACAGCAAAAGAAAACATCAAAATGAAAAGAGAACCCACTGTATGGAAGAAAATATCTGCCAATGATATATCTGATAAGGGCTTAATTTCTGAAATATATAAAGAACTTATACAACATAACACCAGAAAGATAAACAACCCAGTTAAAAAGTAGGCGAAGGACCTGAATAGATGTTTCTCCAGAGAGGACATACAGGTTGACCAAGAGACATATAAAAAAATGCTCAACGTCACTAATCATCAGAGAGATGCAAATGAAGACCACAATGAGCTATCACCTCACACCTGTCAGGATGGCTACCATCAATAAACCAACAAACAAAAAGTGCCGGCAAGGATGAGGAGAAAGGAACCCTAGTGCACTGTTGGTGGGAAGGCAGACTGGTGCGGCCACTGTGAAAAACAGAATGCAGGTTCCTCAAAAAATTAAAATGGAACTGCCTTTTGACCCAGGGATCCCACTTCTATAACTATATCCTAAGAATCTCAAAACACCAATCACTAAGAATATATGCATCCCTATGCTCATAGCAGCATTATTTACAATAGCTACGATCTGGAAACAGCCCAACTTCTTGTCAGTACCAGTAATGGAGTGGATAAAAAAGCTGTACTTGCCCTGGCCAATGTAGTTCAGTTGGTTGGTTGGGCGTCATACATGCACTGAAAGACTGCTGGTTCAATTCTCAGTCATGACACACGCCCAGGTTGCGGGCTCAAACCCTGGTAGGGAGCATGCAGGAGGCAGCTGATTGATGTTTCTCTCTCTCCTTTCTTTCTATCCCTCTCTCCCTCCCTCCATCTCTCTAAGCATGTACTTAGGTAAGGATTAAAAACAAACAAACTAAACAAAAATATTTTAAAACAAAGTTATGATACATCTACACAATGGACTACTATGTGGCTGTGAAAAAGAAACAATTCTTACCCTTTGCAACAGCATGGATGGACCTGGAGATTATTATGCTAAGTGAAATAAGTTAGAGAAAGACAAATACCATATGATCTCACATCTGGAATCTAATGAGCAAAATAAACTTATGAACAAAACAGAACCAGAGGCATGGAGCACTGAAACAGACTGAGGGATGTCAGAGGGAAGGGTGGAGGGAGGGACTAGGTAAAAGAAAGCAAAGATGCCGGCAGGTGTGGCTCAGTGGTTGAGTGTCAACCTATGAACCAGGAGGTCACAGTTTGATTCCCAGTCAGGGCACCTGCCCCAGCTGCAGGCTCCATTACCAGTGTGGGGCGTGCAGGAGGCAGCTGATCAGTGATTTTCCCTCATCACTGATGTTTCTCTCTCTCTCTCCCTCTCCCTTCCTCTCTGAAATTAATAATACATTTTTTAAAAACGTGATGGGATTAGCCAAAGAACATATATGTATAACCTATGATCACAGACAATAGTGTGATGAAGGCAAGGGGAGGAGAAGGGTCAGGTTGGGAGGAGGTGGACAAAGAGGAGGAAAATGGGGGATTATCTTTAATAGTGTGAACAATAAAAAAAAAATTAAACATCCAGAAATCACTACCCAACATAGAACTCGAGTATTTTCTTTTTTTTTTTAAATGTATTTTATTGATTTTTTTTTACAGAGAGGAAGGGAGAGGGATAGAGAGTTAGAAATATTGATGAGAGAGAAACATCGATCAGCTGCCTCCTGCACACACCCTACTGGGGATGTGCCCACAACCAAGATACATGCCCTTGACCGGAATCGAACCTGGGACCCTGGAGTTCGTAGGCTGACGCTCTATCCACTGAGCCAAACTGGTTAGGGCTCGAGTATTTTCTAAAAACAGTAGGTCACACTGTGTATTCCTTTCGTAAGAAAAGCCAGACAGTTACTAAAAGAATCATGATAACACTGCTTAAATATATTGAGATGTTATCCATCTTCTCGAAGTTAAAACTAGTTATATATGCCAGTCTGTTTCTGCTTCTAGATTCTATTTTGTATATGAGGTGTTTTCAAAGGAGATCATTAAACAGAGGGGGAAGAGTTATATACTATATTATATAAATATCTAAAGGAAAAAGAAATATGGGGTGTGTGGGGGGAGGTTGGGGGTTAATGGGGGGGATGAGGACACATATGTAATACCTTAATAAAAAAAATTAAAAAAAAGAATAAGGAGTTAAAAAAAAAAAGAAATATGGGAACATTAAAAAAATCCAAACATTATAGTTCCTTAAATAACTGACAACACTTCCATATAAGCATATTAAAAAAACTTGCAACCTACAAAGAAAGAATGTTAATGGTGACAAAAGAAATACCTAATACAAAAGAACATGAGAGCCCTGGTTGGATGGCTCAGCTGGTTGGAGCGTCATTCCATGCACCAGGAAGTTGCGAGTTCGATTCCCAGTCAGTGAACATACCTAGGTTGGGGGTTCAATCCCTGGTTGGGGCGTGTAGGGGAGGCAGCTGATTGATGTTTCTCTCTCACATCAATGTTATCGATGTTTCTCTTTCTCTCAAAACAAACAAACACACACAATAAACCTGTCCTGGGGTATTAAAAAAGAAAAAAAAGAAAAGAAACAGTAGCTACCAGAACCTTTGCTAGGATTTCATTCATTCTACACCTTTCCAAGAGTAGTCAATTAAAGAGGCACTTCTTGGTCCAAACTGCAGCCATACAAATCATTCTTTTGGAGATGTGCCCCAAAGGAAATAAAAGCATACACAGAAAGGTGTTCACTTCAATGAACAACAACAAACAAAACAAAAAAAAGAAAAAAAAAAGGAAGAATGAAAAGAAAAAGGAGAGTGTTTCCTTTAAAATGTATCAGTTTATACACACCTGCATACATTTGAGTAATTCCAAAAAGGCATCAAATCCTTCTAGGAACTTCTGCCTGAGATCATCTGACCATTCCGTTGGTTTGCTAATCAACACATACCTGAAAAAGAGAAAAATATCAATGACTATATAGATAAATGCTGACATTTTACAAGTTACAACTGGTTTGATAATTAAACAAAAACTTACTTGAGGTCTAAAATAAGGCTCTGAACTCTTCTAAATTTGAAGGCTTGTAAAGCAGTATATCGTTCAAACTGAAATCTACCCTGGGCATCTCGATGTCTCAAATGATCCATAAAAGTCTTAATGATAATGGTCAGTAGGTTTTCTTCTGTGATAAGCATCCGAGCCTAGAAGAAAGAGTAACAGAGCACATGGTAATCAAAACCTAACCTATTTACTAGGAATCTAAGAAAAAGTACCAACATTGGTTAGAATTTTCAGTT